CACGGCAGCCGGATCAGTCGCTCTCCAGTCAGCTCCAGGCTGGCAGCCAGACCAGTCGTTCTCCAGTCAGCTCCAGACTAGCAGCCTCCACGGCAGCCGGATCAGTCGTTCTCCAGTCAGCTCCAGGTTGGCAGCCAGACCAGTCGTTCTCCAGTCAGCTCCAGACTAGCAGCCTCCACGGCAGCCGGATCAGTCGCTCTCCAGTCAGCTCCAGGCTGGCAGCCAGACCAGTCGTTCTCCAGTCAGCTCCAGACTAGCAGCCTCCACGGCAGCCGGATCAGTCGTTCTCCAGTCAGCTCCAGGCTGACAGCCAGACGAGTCGTTCTTCAGTCAGCTCCAGACTAGCAGCCTCCACGGCAGCCGGATCAGTCGTTCTCCAGTCAGCTCCAGGCTGGCAGCCGGACCAGTCGTTCTCCAGTCAGCTCCAGACTAGCAGCCTCCACGGCAGCCGGATCAGTCGTTCTCCAGTCAGCTCCAGGCTGGCAGCCAGACCAGTCGTTCTCCAGTCAGCTCCAGGCTGGCAGCCGCCACGGCAGCTGGCTGGATCAGTCGTCCTTCCGTAAGCTCCGAGCTGGTGACCTTCACGGCAGCTGAATCAGTCGCTCACCTTTGTATTTCTTCATCTTCCTGACTACTGTTATCAGCATCAATATCCTCTACTTCCGCGCCTCAACGTCTTCTTCACCTCGTCAGTCGACACTTTTCAGCCTCATCTTCGTTTCCATTTCTTCATGAACTGCTTCCTACCTCTCATCCTCTTCGGGTTCGGAGGCTTGCGCCAGTTGACTAGCTTCGCAATGTTCTGTTTGATCAAGAGCCCCAACGTTCGGGCGCCAATTTGTAGCGCGGGGGACTGAACAGGGGTGCGGTGGAGTGGGGGCGGAGTTGTTTTCCGGGGGGCTCTTTCTTGGAGCTCTGTTCCAGTGGGTAGTTCGGTGCCAATGTGAAGCGCTGGAATTGTGCTGTTGGAGACTGGAAGTGTGTGCGTAAGTAAAGTTGATTTCTGGAAGCCCACCCGGCATACAAATGCATCTGATGGGAGATGCTTTCATTTTGAGGCTTGATCATCGTCACATTGTATAGACGTCGACTCAGTAACTTCACTGCTCGGGCAGGATGGACAGGCTCCAACCCGTGGGTAATCGACACAGTGAGAGACGGGCTGGATAAGGCAGTTGGGGTCGTAATGATCACTGCCAAGCCATTTGTTGGCGTTTAACTTGCTTTACTGGATGGTCATTAGTCCAGTCACCAATTCATCATCACTGGTCTACTCTACCCTTTTCAAATTTGCCCACTTATATCGTATTAGCGTAGCTGAATTTAAGTGCCCTCGAGAATCATTGTCGTGACTGTCCTAACCGAGCTGCACTTAACTCCTATCGGCCTTAATCTAAGATTCATTCTTTTATCATACGCACTCACATTCTCACATACAAGCGCTCTTCATTTATTCACCAAAATTTATTTAGTGCCCCTCGAAATCCCTCCGATAGTGTTAGGTGTCTGGCAGCAATAACCTCCCCGGCGAGATAAATGTCTCTCTTATGAATCCATGTGTGCTCCCGCTAACCGGTGGCCAAGCCACAGGGCCGTCCAGTATTGCATGCAGATAATTATTCACCTTTGTAATTTAGTCGGATCCACAACACGTCCAATAGACTTATGATGCGAATTCGCGAATTACACCCGGCTGGTTTCCCTTTTGAGAGAGCGCTAGGCCTCGCGCTCCCTCCGGTCCACGTCCTGGAACTTACCGTTCACGTCCTGGGACCATAGTTCACGTATCCACGTCCTGGAACTATCTGCCTGGAACTCATCTGGTTCCGTGGGTCTTACGTTACCAGGACTCACGAACTCCGAGGGGGGACTATCCCGGTCCCCCAGAGGCTGTCCATCACCGGATGTGACCAGAAACTCCTGGCTCATGCCGATGATCAAGATGCAGATAAGTATGATGACTTCCTGGGACGTACGGCTTCCTGCACCACCTGTGGATGACTTACCAGTGACCCAGCACTCCACCATTCCTGATGGATCCTTGACTTCCGCTGGGATCCGCCGTTTCATGCCTCTGAGCCTGCCTACCTTTGCCCACTAAATAATCCTGCGGGAAACCAACAACAACCGCGGTATCACCACGGTGGGTAACGTGAATAGCTCTGCTAAAGACGATGTGCTCCTTACCTTACATTACCGGTCTGGACGAATTTCTCAGGAAGTTCTGTGTCTAAGTCATGTTAGTCAACATTCCGACATAAGAGCCGGGCAAACAAACCCTCTCCTCATTTAGACTCCGGCTTATTGATCTAAGATAGTCAGCTTGCAATATACCTTGTAGCCACTCGAATGTGACAGATAGAAAGATCAAATGTATCATCTTGAGTCATTAAATTTTCGTCAATCTGTGTCGGGTGAAATACTTGCTACCAGCAACCACAAAACCACGAGTATTCAGGTTCGCTAAAAATATAAGCCCCAACAATTTTACTGATATTGTTTACCTGGTCTGAAATATTCTGCGTCAATAAATCTCCCATAAATTACGACCGAGAGCCGACGGACCGTCCTGTCCGCCGCCAGCTCTGTCCCGCGACTAGTGATGCAAACAGTACGCCCGGACTGCCCATGATAAACGTCATTTGATGGCTATGCTCGATAATACCACGCCATTACGACGACCTAGTGACATTATGATGACCCAACATCTTTGAACAATTTACCACGTTCGTTTCCACAATTGCACGCCTCGAGTAATTGAACTCCTTAACAGCTGAATTCTGACCTGAATTTGCAGCCCAGCTCATAACCTGGGCGGCCCACCGCCGCGCCGCTTCACCCGTCGGAATTAACAGCTGGACCAAGGTCGTCGATCAGACACCGTGTGCTTCTTCTATATGTGCTCTTCTTATTCGGTGTGTGTGTGTATCTAATGTAAACCTCTATACTGTAGTGCGAACTCCACGAAACACCACGAGTGGAAAAGCGTTGATGACATCTCGACGGATGATCTTATTGACCTTGTGGCCAATCACCCGTTTCCAAATTTGTAAGAGCTTGATCCTTCCCACTATGCCCACAACAGAACGTTTCATAGCTTTAGTATGTATTCTAAATTAAACACGTTGAATTTAAATACAGTCTAATTCATGTTCCAAGTCAAGAAGCTAATTCAACAGAATACCAATAATATATGACTTACGCCTAACCGGTTAATTTGTTAACTTTGTCTTTGACAGGTTCGCACAGAAACTAACAGCTTCATTATTAACCCGCTATGTGGCGCAGCAATACCAGCTCATATCACTGTAAAAGAGACTGAAACCACGCCCTGAACTCCTCTCACACACCCAACTGAACGTCACTGTTGAACATGAACACACTGAGAATCCCATTGTAATCCTAGTCTGCAAATGGTAAGCTGGAGATCCTAACAATGACATATACGCACTCGTGAAATTTTAGCTAAAACTCGATCACCTATAACGCAGCTTATCCGGTAGTAAGACCCTAAGAACAAAACCGCAATACAGCTTTGCACTAATAATTTCTGGCGATCGCGGAGAGTGGAGACCACAACTAGAATTGTCTGGACCGACCGTATAAATCAAAGCAATTTGCTATTAGCTTGGCAACGACCATTGGAGAGATTGGGCAGGGCGTGAACCAGGGGGGGGGGGAGAAAGGATCAGGGAGAGCAGACTTTCGACCATTCAGATTGAACACTCACATAAAGCAGCTGGAGTGTGACGTCAACCTCGGCAGTTGCACTTGCGTCCTTTCTCGTCGACGGCTGCTGTCCTGCGTCTCCATCACTCGAGGCACTAGCAGAGAACTGGAGCAGGACGATTGCAGCGATGCGGCTGAACTGGCCCGTCTCCCGGCGGCATGACTTCTCGGGCGCGGTGATCCCGACGCGACTGCGGCGGTCCCACTGACTCGGTCCTCCCGTCCCGGTCTCACTGTCTCGGTCTGACTGCTCCGGTCTAACTGATCTCGAAGTAAAGCGGTCCCTTTTTTATAGTTGGGTCGGGGTGGCGTCGCCCTCTCCTGACCTGGTTCCGGGTGCTGGCTCCGATTCAGGTGCACTTCTTTGTCTTCTTACTGCGGTGGTTTGAGGGTGTGCTCGGTTTTGCGTTTGCAACGGCCTCTCCAAAATATGGTTGCACTAAATGTGAAAACATTCAAATAGCCATAAGATGGCACAATTCTTCGGTTCCAGTCTTCATCGGCGAACGATGCCCGTTATTGTTGATCTGCGCTTGTTTCTGATAAAGCGGCTTGAAATCGAAATGGTTGTTTATAGTAGGCAGCCCGCAACGATTTATCCTTTGTAATGTTGTCTCTAGTTTCCTTTAATCTTGCTCACTCACTCGTACTCTAGGTGCTGTACCTCTTGTTCAGATGCTCCTCCGCCACAAGGACTTGCTTTCCGAGCTCATGAGCTGCTAGCGCAATGACTTCCTCTGGATATCATTTAGATAGTCTATATTCCAAAAACGTCCTTGTTGCACTGGTCGTTGCTAGAATGCTATAGGTATGATGGGGTCAGACGATAAAACTATTGCGACTTTCGGATTGCTTGGTGATCAAGTTGATCTGAATTGCAGCTTTGTGCAACGTCCAGTATTGAGTCGATTTTTTTTTGCATAACTGCATTCTTGCATGACTTTATCATATTCCCTTCCGGTTGGTGCTGCCCTCAAGTGACGACGTCCGTAACGAACGGTGACCCGCTAGGTCTCCGCGTCTATTTCTTCCGCGTTACCTCACTCTGTGCTGCTGTCCTTTCTAAATTATGGGCGGCCGGTGTCGATAGGGACGTGGGACAGGGGAAAACAAAGGAAAGGGTCTCTACGGAACGCGGCCAGCGTATCCGGATCGGGCAGTAGTCGGTCGTGCCAGGATTTAAAGTTTACAGCTAATAGTAAACTAATAGAAAAGATGTAGCCCGCTACACCTCCGTCCCCCCGTCTCCCCCGCTATCTCTCAGTTCTCACCGTTGTCGGTCATCACGTAGGCTGGCACGTCGTGTCGCGATAGGAAGACGGCCAGCCGCGCGGCGGCCACCTCCTCGATACTGCTGTAGTAGGGCGCCGTCTTCCCGTCCTCCGACAGCAGCGAAAACCAGCCTGGGGGCAGACGCCAGAGGTCAGACCAAATAGGACAGGTCAGCGGAGGAGTGCAAATGTAGTACAAAATCTTTCTTCTTTTACCCTTCTGAAGGCAGCGGTTGACATCGGTCATGCACTGAAGGGATAATGAGACATGAAGGGACACTTGTTTTCCTTTCAGGGTTTCTACGCTTTATGTTTCCTATTAGAGTCATAGCTTTTCATGATATAGTCAGATTTGTAAGTGTCAATGCAATTTAAAGGCCAGTTTTAAAAGGCCAGTCACGTTCCAGTTGTGGATATGCGAAATTGATTCATCATTGTAGCCGCATTTACAACAGTCAATTTCCTTGACGTTTCCTTTAATGTCGGTGCTCGATTATCACTAATTCCCCACTTGAAGGAAATTACGCCTCGCTGACATTGAGTGAGAGGAACAAGGCCGCACGTAGGCAGAACCAAGTAATTTTGGACAGGGCGGCGATTTTGGTATGCCTAGCGATAGGCACTCGGTGTTGGCGACTACAAAAAGCACCGCTCGTGTGCGGGCTCAGTGCTCAGTTGTCTGAGGCTGTTCCGCAACCGTACAATTGGGTTTCGTGTGCCTGTTTATCTGGGCAGCTGCCACCACGAGCTGACCACAATCACTTGTGTGAGTTTTCGGTAAATAATTATCGGAATTGTCCTCGGAGAGACCTCCATTGGCCGCCGTGGGAAGTCAGAACGGCTCCATCTCGGTCGCTGGGGCTCGGCGCCGGAAAGGAGCCATTACCCAACTGACAGCGCGGCCGCCGCTTACCCACTGTTGGCGCCGTTACCGGGCGGTGGCCCGCGGACAGGGGCGTGGACTATGGGCCCCGCCGCGTCCCGTCGAAAACGGGTCAGGGCCGGCGGGACGTCGCTCAGCCGGCGGTCCGCTGAGGACAGAATCAGCCCCCCCCCCCGCGCCCCACTGTCCGGCCATGTGTGCTCTGCTCCCAGTGACGCTACTGCGCCGGTTAACGGCGATAATGAGTGTGGTTTTGTAGCATATGAACACGGTCGTTATCTGATTATTAGGTGGTCCCATTAGATGACCGATTGTGTAATGAAACTGGACATAAAAAGGTATGAATGGATGGTGAACGTGAGACAGTAATTGGCCTGGGGTAGGCGACGCTGACATAATTAGTGTGGCAAATGAGATGTAATTACAAATGAATGCAACATGATAATAAGCCACAGTGGGTTTTTCAGATTGTCATGAATATCTCAATACGCATAAAGGCATATTTTGTGTGCATGTAGTGGGAATGTCCTCTGCGTAGGTAGCCTGTAGGCACTTGTCCCAAAACTAAAACATTTTCACTGTGACAGACATGGCTTATATTCTGTCTTGTCATACCTAACTCCTAAATGAAGTAATAGCTTTTGTGAGGACCTCCGTGACGACGAAATGCACGACTGGCGAGTGCTGATAAAATGACGTCACTGGCATAATAACTGGAGGCGAGGCAGGGGCCGGTAAACAACCGACCTTGTCCGGCTCCCAGACGGCCGATTGCCGACTGTCGTGTGTCGTGTCGGGACCTTCAGAATTCAGTCACCGTGACGTCACCAGAGGGCGGTGACGTCATCAGGTCACAGTGACGACGTCAGATCTTATCGTACGTCACCAGACTCTCTGCTCAGCTCAGCTCCCGACACTACAACTCGCCTCCATGCCGCCCTGTCTCTGCGACTTTATCCCGTCACAGTGACGTAGTCCGCTGTTGACGAGGCCAAGCCCCTGCCGCGCCCCGCTCATTGTAACGCAGCGTGGTACTTTATTACGAATTGCCATAATCTTCATCGGCACGGTGGGGGCGCCGCCTCCAGCCTTGACGGGCTAAATGACTGTGCGCACATATACGGCCCGCGCCGGTCTGCCGTGGTGGCGGCGGCGGAGCGGCTTACCACGGCCCACGGCAGCCGATGTCGGCACACCTCACACCGCAACGCCGGAGAACAGTTGGCACAGTCATTTGCCATGGTGTGCGCACGTGCCGCTCTGGCGAACCGTGCCACCACACCCCGTGCAGACCCGCTACTGCCGAGGTCGAATCAGCAGTCTCTGCTATCTTTGTGGCTACAGTTGAAGTCTTCGTTACATTTTAGTGGAGCGGTGCAGCCTCTGGTTATGCTTGTTGCTGCCGCTTCAGTCTCTGTTATGTTTCTGGCTACAGTTGAAGTCTTCGTTATGTTTCTGTACGTCGTTGCAGTCTCCACCTTGCTGCCGCCCTGGCGCGTGCGTTCCTTGTTGTGTTTGTGTGCTACGTTGAGGTCTCGGGCCTCTCGGTGTGAGCGCGGGCGGTGGCTGTTTGCAGCGCTGATGCGCCGGCGCGGGCCGTGTGGGCGGCTCGCGCGCGCCACGCGTCGCCGCCGTGCCGCCGCGGCTGCGAACACTGTGCGGCTGCGACCTCCGTGTGCCGTGGGAGCAGCCGCACAGTGTTCGCACGGTGACCGGTCAGCCCAGCCGCGGCGGGCACAGCACCGCCCCTGTTTCGCCGCCGTACGACGCCCGAGTTGTGCCGAGCCACGCCCGTGAGACCGCCGCGAGCGACGGAAAATTGGCTGTCATTGTAGATGGATGGCTTATCACCTGCTCCGCGACCGCATAACTGGTCGGTGGGACTTGATGTCACGCAATAGCAATTGATCAATGTTATATGCTTCTTTCTAGAGATGTCAATCGGATACCAACTTTTTGGTATACCGATACCAAACCGATACCAACTTGGTATTTGATATTTCAATCGTAATGTGTTTGGTATTTTGTTGGTATCATAAACCCTCACTAATGTATAAGAGGCTAAGAAATCGGTAAAAAGTTGGCATTTCCCTCATTTTCCCAAGTTGGTTTGGTTTCGGTATTTTCCCGTGGTTTTGGTTGGTATTTGGTTTGGTATCGGTATTCCGATTTTCCGTAATTGACATCACTACTTCTTTCCATAGACGGATGCCTCGTTATCCGTCCCCAAACGTGGCTGCTCAGTAGCTAGCGCCGCCCTACGTAAGCAGGCCTTTTCTCGCCGAAATTCCCGCCTGTGGAGCCGCTCCCCGGCGTCGGGCGTCGGGCCGCACTGCCGAGAGATCAATCTTCACAGCTCACACCGCCGTCACGTCAGTGGTACGGCCGCATTAGCCGACACGCGAGCCTCCGAGTCTCCCGTCCGTGCCGCATCTCCCCCGGCCGCCGACTCAGTACACAGGACATGATGACAGCAAACCGTTAGGGACACCGTTCGGAGCTGGCCGAGTTACCGCGATAGTATCTCTCGCGTGATTATTGCCACGATTGTTCGATGGATCGCGTTATGTTTTGATAGAGCCGTTTCCATGACGACGTTATCAACAGGTTAGTGGGTCCCTTTCGTGACAGGGTATATCCTCTCGAGATGAGATGAACCGATTCTGTTGGAACGAAATAGCGGCAAAATGGAGTGAGGGTGGGGAAAACATAACACATGGTGGGAAAATGGTAGTGCAATGCGATGAATTTAAGCAGTTATTCTGGGCTTATTGGTACTCGGACTAATGACCCATCGAGGCTCATTATGCGCAAAAAAACACTGGTCGATAGTCTCTTGGCCTTCGGGCTCGGACGGTCCGTCGCCTCTCCGTTGTTTCTCGACAAACAACGCGGTCGATTGCAAAGTTGGCAAGCCCGTAGTCTCCATCTGTGAGGCTGGACGTTCGGCTCAGTCGTCTTCTCTATATAGGCACGTCTATGGGGAAGGGCAATCCACTGTCTGTGGGCTAGAACAGCCCACCTCTCGCGCCAGATGGTCGGCGTCCACAAGATTTACCGAGGTCCCGCGCCCCGCCAGTGATCTACGGACTAAGCCCGGCCGCCAAGGTCACTCCTCTGAATGACTTCAGCTTGGGACGGGCAGGGAGATGGTGTAGAAAACGGAGGTAAATTGGCAGATACTAGATGACGGTGGGTGGACGGGGTTTTATATGGAGAGTTAACAAGCGGGAAGACAATAAAATATGAACTATTAGGGCTAACTCTGTGTAGCATTGGTAAAATATCTAGCTATAAAACTGAACTTTTGCATCAGAATATAAAATGGTTGGCTTCGCTATCAAATGGACAGTAAAAAATCAAACCAATAAAGCAGACCTAACGAGGGGTGTCAGCTATAAAATTGCCATTAAAATCTCGACAGGAGTTTGTGGTCTCCCCTTGTAAATGCCACCGGCTTTTGAACAAAGGCCACGGCACTGGTGCTGTCAGAAACGGCAAGCCCTCTGCTCGTTACGGCAGTGCTATAGTTCTCTGCCCACACTGAGAAAATTTAAAAACGGGGTGGGGTGTTTTTGCAGTGTATGATGAGTGTCAGACACTTTTAAATGTGTACTGTGACACTTATTACAGTGTCATGAAGCCTGTCATACACGGTTAAAGGTTTAGACACCCTCAAAAACTCCCTTGGGTATGCAGAATAACCACTTACCCATGGGTAAGTGGTTATTCTGCATACCCAAGGGAGCTTTTGAGGGTGTCTAAACCTTTAACCGTGTATGACAGGCTTCATGACACTGTAATAAGTGTCACAGTACACATTTAAAAGTGTCTGACACTCATCATACACTGCAAAAACACCCCACCCCGTTTTTAAATTTTCTCAGTGCATCAACCGGTTGCCAAGGGGAAGCTAACAGGACAGCCGTTTTGCTAGTCAACACCGCGATTACCATCGGTTTCAAAATTCAGCGTCAGCAAATGATAAGCGCGAGAACCTCAACGCTGGTCAGCATCTCCTGTGCTAGAACTTCTCACTTCAGTCGTCTGCCACCACCGCCTTTGCGGTGGCCTAGACCGGGAAAGTTCTCGTCTCCACATGCGAAAGTTTCGGCTCGTCCTTGTGATGCGAGGCTGGTCAGCCACAGCTATGAGCCGAGCGGCTTTCCAGCGACCGTCGACCCGCCGTTGTTCTCAGCGCGGCCAGCCCGGATGCCGCAGAGCTCCGGCGTCTCTGTAAACCGCCGCA